TTCGCTGACAGGCAGTCTGTCTGGACTCCTATCCAACATACACTAATTGGTCCTATCAGGCCAAAAAACCTTTTTTGCAATCCAGTAGTTACCCTTGACAGGCTATTAAATATTATTTTAGACCACTTTCACTGAGGTTCACTTAGTTTGATACATAGTTATGAGCCTGTGACATTTTGGAATGATATACACACCAGACAGTGCAAACATTTTAATTGCAGTCTGAGAATACAGTGCACACAATTTTTTATGGTGTACTAGGCTCCAGTATATACAAGTCCTATGGAGTATCTTTGTATGACAATCTGCTAATAATGCATCATGGACATTTGCTTATCTAGAGTATTGGGAAAACTGACTGGATGGAGAATGTTACCTGTGTAGTCTTATTTTATAGTTATATAATATAACCACAACAATTATTCTTTGCATAGGAGTATAAGTACATGTCCATGTGCATTATTTAACATTAACAGAAATGGCATCAATAATATAATAATTGCTTTGTTGTAGCGAAAAAATGAGACCTTGGAAGGTGATCACTTTTTAGCTAAGCTAATACAGGTAAAAACTTTTCCACAAGTTTATTTCCAAAAAGTTTGTTACTTAATGTCTTTTATTTGCAAAGTATAGTGGAAAATGATGGCTCTTTTCCAGTCCTTTAAAAACACACTTGCTTTCATTGTTTTGTCGCAATATAAATCAAACTCGATTGAACTGAATTTTGTGTTACATTCTTGAGAAAGTAAGATGACGTAGAGCTAGCATGGTGTGATATTTTTGGAATATGCAAATTTGCACATCATGTACATGTACTCTTTCTGTGATATCACCACCTTTAGTATGCATTGTATTATGTATTTTCACATGTATTTGAGCAACTTTGGATGCATCTGAAACACTGGTGATTGTGCACTTTGCTACTTGCTTCCACCTCTGATTATTGTATTGTTAAGGCTCAGCCAAGGTCACTTGACCTCATGCATATATTACCTGAAGCACCTTGAGCTCCTTCCGGGTCTGATATTGAATCCATTGTGTCCAAGTGTTTACTTGCCCAGGTTTAACTTGTTTTCTCAGTGAGGTGACGTTGTAATATCTGGCCTGTGCTCTGTCAGGAAAGTGTTGCAAATGGGAAATAATGAGTTGTTAACAAGCATTAAATAAAACCTCAGCAAGAGATTGTGACAGCCTGACATTGTAGGTGAGTTCACGCTTGTTTTGAATTTCTATTTGAAACAGACTGCTGGAATATCAGATTATGTTCTGGGTGAGGGCTTCCTCATCTGTCTTCTCATTTCTCATCACAGTGTTTAGTTTCATAAAGGCTAAATCAGCGTACATACTATGGTAATAAGATCACCCATCTGTGAACCTGAGAAATTGGCACAGACTATTTCAATTCCAGTTGTTTAAAAAAAAAAATTTTTGGTGTCGGGAGGGGTGCTAATACCTTTAGTGACACAATGATACGATTCATTCAGAGTGAGAATTTGCACATGCACACTTGTAATTGAGATTGTCTAACTGCTGTCAGATTTCTCAGATGGGAATTGTAATTAGCTGAAATGAAACGAAATTTTAAACCTGCATGATGCTCTTCTTCTTGTTAGGCTTGAAATCAAGCATATTGGAAATGCACAGAGGGACTGGCAGAAATTGTTTTAGTGCTACTTTTCCTACTTGTTTCCTTGATTAACCATACAGACAAATATGCAAACAAACAAAGATGCATGCAACCACCCATGCACAGGAAATGTACATACTGGATGTGAGGACTGAGAGGTAAATACATGAATACTCTCTCCATGCACACACGCACACAAGTCCCTATCCTACTTACAAAGTTAAGAAAAAAAAACCAAAAACAAAATACTGTGAAGTTGTACTGACGACCCTTATGGGATAAACAACTGAGCAGCAGCAGTGCACGTCTGCCTGGGAGGGAGGGAGGACGGGAAAGATGTTAAGGAAAAATATTGTCTTTGATCTGATGATATCTGCTGTTTGGGCTAACTTGCCATGAAGGCTGAACAAAACAGGGCTGTTTGTCAAACATAATTTGCTTTCGTCTTGGAGACGCCCCAGGATTCCACAGCTGAAAGGAAAGTAGTAACTAAACATGTTTCTTTTTTTTACAGCGTGTGACACAAAGTTTTTCTGCTGTGTCTTTTGAAAGCTTTCACAGCGTCTCTACTGACTCCTGCCACTCAGTGTCACATTTTACGTTTGACAGCACTGGCGGTTCTTTTTTTCATTCACACAGTAACTCTGCATCAGATCTGCTGTGGAGCTACAAAGCCCTTTTTACCCCTCAGCCGTAAAAGGCTGATGGGGTCCTGTCGTCACCCCACTGGGCAGGAGGGCGGGTAGGTGGGGAACCTGAACACATACGTTTCTGAATGCATCAACTCGAGAACAAGGTGACGTAGGAGCTTAAAATTGATTCCATGGGTGTATCTACGAAAAAACTTGGACAAGTTCAAATCTCAGTGACTTCAACCTCAAAGTCAGAGGTCAAGTTTTTTACAAGCATGCTGATCCACACAGGTATGCACACAGGTGTACACATGGGTATTCACAGACGCGGACTAAAGCTTTCTTGGCTGCTGCCTCAAAGCACACTGTGCGCTGTCTATCTTGCGTGCTGCACAATATCGTTTATTATTTAGTAACTATTGATATCTATGACTAGCTAGTTTATTGTGATGGTGCTTTGTTTTCTCTATTATTATGTTGCTCTTTGTTGTTTGCTGTCTCCTCTGTTTGTTTTTTTTGTTTGTTTGTTTTTTTTCTCCATACAGGTGACCCAGGAGTTGTTTATTTTTCCCCCCCCTTCTCACCGTCTCTTCTCTCCTTTGGTTTTCTTTCTCTCTCTCCCCCTCTTTCTCTCATTCATTCCCCCTGTCCTATTTATTAAAAAAAAAAAAAAAAGACAAAGGATGAACTGAAGCTCTGCCATCACGTAATGTCGCATACTGCTGTTTCTGATGTCATTTAAAAAAAAAAAAAAAAAGAGGTCAAGTTTTTTGAAAATCTTGTGACTGCAGTAACTCCAGAATAAGGTGACGTAGGATTTTGAAATTGATACCATAGATGCAGCTACTAAAACTCTTGGAGGACTTTGAGGACTTTGTTTCTTCAACGTTGTCTGCTTTCAGCATGGTCACTATTTTTTACTCGGTGCAGGTTCCAGTCTGACCGAAGCCATCATTGACATCTGTGTCAAACTGACCCGACTTTTATGTCAACTGTCAACATGGTGTTCTCCTCGAAAGACCCGAGGCATGTGACAGAGAACATTTGGTAGAAACCACCAGAAGTGTGGGGTTTGTGCCATTGGGTGCAGGCATACAGTACATTGAAAAGTCAACAGACACCTGCCTCATTAGCCAGATTTGTCTCCCTGTGACTTTGTCCAAATTCAAGTTGAATGGTCTGAGGAAAAGTGTCTGGACTTCTATAAGTTTCCTTGAAGATGTTTCACATCTCATCCGAAAAGCTTCTTCATTTCTTAAAGAAGTCCAGACGCTTTTCTTTCCAAACTCCTTAGACTACGATGACCTGGATGACTAAGAACCTTCACAGACTTATTCAAGTTGAGTGGTTTGCCTTCATGACAGTGGAGGAGATCCTGCACACAGTGGTCAGAATGAAACTCAAATAACAGCATCACTGGAAGTAGATGCATTATCCAAGGGAACTCCCCTGAAGGAGCTTTTTTTGCTTTGTATCATGGAGCTTTGTAACTGCAGCTCGTGATTTGTGTGGTTATTCCAAGTTCAACTAATTAAATCAGTAAAGGGTAAGAAACAGTGGGATTGAAGTCTTGCCCAAAGGTCATTAATAAGAAAACCACTAGCTCACATATATTATTTTCCTGTCTCACTGGCTACTGGAAAAAACTAAAGGTTTCTTTGTTATTGTTACACATTTAACTACATGGAGAAAATAAAACAATTATTTGGCTACATCATGAGTTTTTTTAGTTACATTGGTTCAATTTTAAGACTTTGATGTTTTGTGTTGTGGTTTGCATGGAGTTTGGGTAAAAAAGTGTTTTATGTATTATGTCAGTCTCCGTACTGGTAATTATCTGACAGATCTGGTGCTGAAATACAATACACAACTGCTCCGGCAGATTGTTAAAAACTATGAAGAAAAAGAGAAAAACTATGAACTTTTTCTTTGACCTAAAAATAAAAGTTGTGCCCGAGTCTGCTATAACCTTATTTTCCCTTGTATATGTGCATGCGTGCACACACAAACACACACACCTGAATTCCCCTGAAGGGTTAGCAGGCAGCAGTTACACTGATTAACTAAAAAATTATCCTCTCAAACAGTTATCTTCTCATGGCCGCACAGCTGCTTTCTCTCCTCTTTCTGTGTGTTCTCTCTTTTCCTCAGTGTTCCCTTCCTCCCGTTCTTCTACCCCCCCTTCCAACAGGCAGACAAGGTGACCCAGCGTCGCTCCTGCTGTCCATCCAGATGTTGAATCACTGTGATTCTCTCCATACGTTGCTTTCAGAAATTATTAAATCACTGAGACAACATGATTATTTAAACTCTAAACCGTGTTGTACTGATCGATTGGCCTGTTTGCTTATAGAAAAAACTGGCACCCACAATGAAAGCAGCCGTGTTCGGGTTTATAAAATACATGTGTGGCTGCGCTTTTACTCAAATATGCGCACCTTGTTTATTTTGTCACTGATTGAGATCTTTGAAACTCCACTACTGTAATCTTATTCATCTAATTGAATATCGACTCACCATCAGTGCCTCCGGTGTTTTTACTTTCATAAATCTGTGTTTGATGGTGACGTCAATAAAATCAGGCAGGATGGAGCCTTTATTTGTAATGCCATTCTTGAAGAGAAAACTATTGAAATCAGAGGCAGCTAAATACCTAAAAATGTTCCACTGCTAAAAGATCGGCTTGTTCACAAGACTTCTCATTTGCGTTTTGTGCCTCTGTTTGTCTTTCTGTTGATCAGATAACCTGTTGATCGATTACCAGTTTACCTTCAGTCTGCTTCAGGAAGATGACCGCTACTACACTGCCATCAACTTTATGGCAACACCTGAACAGGTAATGTCAAGAGAGGTTAAGGTTCATTAATTAGTTTTAGTATTTAAGAGTGGCCTGTTGCGTTTTTATCCAGCTCGGTGCTTTCATTATCCTCTCTACTTTTAGGATTTAGGCTTAAAACTTTCCTTTTTGATAAAACCCATAGCTGCCCCTCCCTGAGCCTGGCTCTGCTGGAGGTTTTATCCTGTCAAAAGGGACTTTTTCCTTCCTATATTCTCCAAAACGCTTGCTCATAGGGGGTCATATGACTGTTGTGGTTTTCTTTGTATTATTGTAGGGTCTTGACGTGACGTGACGTGACTGTTGTTTTGATTTGTTGGTATATAAATAAATTGAATTGAAATATATAGTTCCAATACATGAACGTTGTGTAATACATAGCTACATACAGTTTAGGTTTTTGTCCTATAGACTGATGGAAATGTGGGAATAAGCTTGCATGCTCTTTAGTGGCTAGCTGTGGATGACTTCTCTGTCCTCCCAAAAAATAAATAAAATAAAAATAATAATAAATAAAGTCTAAAACTGATCCTAATCCTTCATGATTGCTGCCCACCAACACCACAGCTTTTCTGGTTTGCTACTGGAAACCAAATGCCCCATAGAAATTTGGTCATAGTGACCATCAAGTCATATACTGGTACTGAAATCCTGACTTGTAGGCTAAAGTAGGAAATTTGTCATTTTCATTGCCATCTTTTCAAACGGGATGTGATAAGTCAGGAGGAAAGTTAAAGTAAGAAACCAAGTTAGCTCTAAGACATACACCGATCTTCCTCATCCATTTCCATTAAATTGGAGCATAATTTGCAAAATTAGGGTCATGTAGTTTTCAATAAGACTTAAAAATAATGATTGAGACCGTAAGCTCACTATGACTTTACTTAAATAATAGATCAGTGGAGCTGAACACTCTTTTTCTTCTAGGTTTCTTTGTGCAACAAGTAGAGTTTCCCTCTGCTGGCAGTTTGAACAAATGCTTAATTAACAAGCTTCTACACTGGCTTCACTTTTTAGACCTGGTAGTTGTCTTTCATATGCCGTCTAGCCTGCAAAAAGAAGTGCATCTAATATGACAACTATAAGAAAGTTTCCAAGCTGACATCAGATCAGCGCAAAACTTTAAAAACTTGAGAAATCATGTGCTTGGAGCAGTATAATCCCTGTGCCCTTGCTTACAGGGATTATTTATATATTCCCTGACCTCATGAACTCTGCCCATGTTCCATATCAGCATCTGACATTGTAATAATACTTTTAAATGGTAGAAAAAATGAAAAAAAAAAATTAAACAAAGACAGAGGAAGGCATGTTGTGGCAGTGTACAGCTTTGGATCTATAAAAACATATATCCTCCAAATGTAAAGATCTGTTGTCAGACTAAGGAATCTGTCTAAACTCTTGACTTTTATCTGTCCTGTTTTTCCTTCTCTGTGCCTAAAGCTGTGTTGAAATACAACTCAGAGTGGTAACACTGGAGACAAAATCAATGTAACGATGCAAAAAGAGGCCAGCAGATTCAGATTTGCCCTAGGTGACATGAGTTGAGGCCAGGACGAGTCTGCTCAAGTTAACAACGTTTTCCCAAATAGTTCTTCTGTTGACTGAAGTAAAGCGAGTTAAAGTAATGTAAATAGCCTGGGGAAGGTGTCCAACAACAGCGTGAACTGCAAAACCTGTACATAGACCAAAAAAAGATGTGAAAGAAATAAAAATTTGCTTCATTTTCTTGCTGATTCCTTCTTCTGTCTCTAAGGTTCTCCATCTTCAGTCAGTTTGTCCCCAAGCTTTGATTTCATTCTTCAGCTCAGTAACACAACCTTGCTTTTTTTCCTTCTTCCAGGCCAACAAAAACCTGGATATGTCCATCAACGCCTCAAACAACTTTAACCTGAACATCACCTGGTCCTTAAGTTCAACCGGTATGCTGCACACACACTTATTCATACTATTCTTAAAGAGTTCCTTTTGCTTGATTTGCTTGAATGGCTTGTCCATCCACTTGCTATTAAATAATAAATAAAAAGAAATCTTCAGGTAGCAAAGTTTGCTCCTTCACACACACTGGGTTGTGCCCCATCAAATAGCTTTAATGTGGACATGAAGATATCTCGAGGCATGTTCCCTGTTAGGATGCTGCATATGAGCGTTACATATAACTATATATAACAGTGTTACACAACTTTGTAATACTGGAAAACAAGGCCACCTTTATTTGTACCCATACACAGACTTTATCTGCAGATAGTAAAGGGTTTAAAAAGATGAACATACCACAAGGAAAAAAACATCCGTTTATCTCAGAATAAAAGCTATGATTTGGTTATCTGAGTGATGACTGCTGGAGCAAAACATTTTGGGACTGTGTTTCCATAAAGAAGAAATTCAAACAGTCGAGTTAGCAGTGTCATGTTGCCCTGCATCACACCCAGATTCATCACCAGCTTGTTAAAGCCAGGTCAAGTTGGGAGCTGATTTAACATGGCACATTTGAGTGGCATTTTTCCTTAATCAGAATCAAATGGCACATATAAATAAAATTTATTATTATTACTATTATTGTTGTTGTTATTATTAATAATAATTTGCTGAACTTATTCTTTATTCAGTACTTATTTTCAGTATCTCCTATTAAATGTGTTGTATCAGGAATTAAACTGTACTCAACTTCGAATTGCAGCACATGTTATGTTGATCTGATAAAATGTGGGTGAGGGGTTTGTTAAAGTACAATCTCTGTCTGTAAACAAAAAAGTGCCAAAATTACCTGGTAAATTTAAAAAAAATACAAAAAACCAAGGGGGTGGGGGGTTCAGGGCACGAGGCTTTTTTGGGGCTGCAGACTTTTGTACATGGATGTGAAAAGCCTGCAACTCAATTTTCCTTTTTTATTTTCCTCTTTTTTTTCCTTTTTTTCCTTTTTTCTCCTTTTTTTTCCAACTCAACTTTGCAACTCAATTTTCTAAGTGGTACTTCTAATACACACACACACACACACACACACACACACACACACACACACACACACACACACACACACATATATATATACATACATACACCAGTTTAGTCATGTGTGCAAATTTCAGAGAGTTTTCAAGCAATTTAAGATGTTAAGAGAAAAAAAAATGCGATTAGTTTTGTAGGACATTTTTAATAAACACAGCAGTTTCATGAAGGCCCTAATGAAAGAATCAAAGTGCCTACAGGGTTAGCATAGAAGCTTTAGTAATGTTACTGATTTTAGCTGATTGGTGCTCGACTCAGGACTCTCTCTGAGCACAGTGTGTGCTTGGCATTAGGACTTCAGCTAACTATTTTTAATTACTTTCATTTCTTTTTTTGAATTAATAAAAATATATATATTAGTCCCACAGAGCCCTGGGCAGGAGACAAGCTCGTGACTCTCCTGTTAGCTTGTTAGCTTTGTTGCCAGCATAGTTCTGCTCACGTTTACACTGTGCATAGATCTAATCGGCCAAAATAATTGGAAACACTTTAAAGACACATTTAAAGAACTCCCTTCATTTTAGACATCTCTCCATTGAAATCTTTTGTCAGTTCTCGTCTGTGTCGATGTTGTGATACAGTGGTCCAGTCTGTCTCCAAAAGCTTTTATTTAGCTGTCAGTCTGTAATGTTATCGCACAGTCAGGATTTGTCCAAAAATGGTCAGCTCCACTTCCTGCTTGCCTTGCAGGGATTCCCCCTCCTGACAAAACACATCAGAAGATATTCAGAATTTTGGCATTAGGGTATTTTAGACGCTTTCCCTCCTGATTCCAATTAAGATAAAAGCACTTTCTCACTCTTGGGATCTTGGGGCCCACAGCTTAGTCATTTTGGGACTCTGCGCTTTGTGTGTGTGTGATTGTCTTCAGACTATTGCAGAGTGTTTAATGGCCCTCGATAAAGCAGGAGGTGGAAATATATTATTCACACCATCTGAAAACTCAGCCATTAACACAGAACTGCTGATGATGCTCTGAAGGATCCTGAAATCAGACCTCTTCAGTGCTGCGAGGAATTTACAGGCTCACTGTGAATTACTGCAAGGTGTCATAATGCTTTTGCTGTGAATGATAATTTGCCTGCTTGAGATGAAAGGCACGCCTTGGCATTTTAAAATTCACGCTGTTTTCGCTCAACCTGTCCAATTACCAGTTTTTGTTTTAAATTTATCTTTACAAGGACATTTGGATTGAAAACAGCCTTGCTGATGGGCAGCTCATTGTGGTGTTCTCATGTGGCTGCTGAGTATGAAGTAGGAAAAAGGGAGAAAGTTTTTACCGCTGTAAAACAGAGCTGTACTCTCCAGGCTGACATGACACTGGTCTTCATATGTCTTCGTTTTCAGAAGTTATAACAAGTGTTTTGTCAAAATCTGTGTAATTTCCTTTGTGATTTGAGTTATTATGAAATGTATCTGATCAACTTCATTCAAAATATCTACAGGAGAGACAGGTGTGCTGGAAAGAACTCCACAAAAACAATTGTATGTTACCGGCAAAGTTTCAGTCATCCAGTCAAAGGATATTTGGCTAATGCAAACTTAACAATTTGTTAAATGGGGCCTTAAAAATGGTATTACTTTATGCCAGAAAAACCTTATTTTTTCTTCTTTTTTTAGGGCTTTTTCATCTATTTTTTAAAAATATAACATTTATAGGAAACTATAAAATTACACTAAATAAACCTTTTTTTCAGTCCTTTGATGGTGTCTTTAATATAAATAGAAAGCCAACAAGTCCTGATCTCCACCTCTTGGTGGCCCTGAAACAAATTCAATGCCACAGACGCAAAGGTCCCATTTAATATCATTGAAATGTGCTGCTAACAGCTTTACGTATGCATGGCCATGTATTTTTACAAATGCAGGTACTAAGGCTTGTTGTCACCCAAGAAGGTTTTTGACTTTGAAGTCAAATTTTGTTCCTTTTACCTCTTCTCATGGTCTGTTATAAACTGCTAATACATGTGTTTGCTGAAAACTGGTTATTGAAAACAATTATCACCACAAGCCACGAGCGGTTGTTGTTAAAATAGAAGAAAAATTGTATTCGTTTTTTAACCTTTTTCTGTTCCTCTCAGCTGGAACCATCTCAGGTGAGGAGATGCCCATCATAGCGAGGATGAACATTAAAGAGCACCGTGACAGTTTCTCGAGTGAAAAGTTTAACTTCAGACTTCACCACAACATCACCTTCTACGTGTATGTGTCCAACTTCAGCTGGCCAATCAAGATCCAGGTAAGGTTGCATGGATGCAGGGATGTGAAAAGTCAGGAGAGTTGGGAATGCTGTAACTTCATATTCATTTGACTTAGTAACTGACTGTAAGTCATGTAGACATGCCTTCAGATTTTTCTTTTTCTTTTGTGATACATTTTCTGAACATTAAAAATCAGCAGTTTAGAAATGTGTTACTAAAAAGATTAAAACGAATACTGAAACTAGAACACAACAACTCTGATTCTGAGTTTTAGCTCTGGTTAATGAGGTTATTATTGCAATTATTTTAAATTGACAATAATATTTCTGCTGTTTAGTCTGCCATTGATACTGGATATGATGAAAATTATTATGATAGTGTTCATTTTGAGGTCTGGCTGTGATGCATGCTGGGAACTCATCAGCTAGTCCTCCAACTTTAGCCTCAAAAGGCAGACATTGGAGCCAAAACTTCCTGTTTCATCCACCTACCGCTCTGGTGGACCTGCTACATTATCAGGTCCTTGAATCTATACCTCCAGTACAATATTGTGGCAAGCTGAGGAATCTTAACAACAAAGAACTCACCCAAAGGCTGAGCCTGTTATTCTACTCCAAGCAGGAAGGGGGAGTTTTTTATTGAACAGTTCACTGTGTTACACTGTGCTTCAGAGGGTCAATAACCCCACACATGAACTCACTTATGTAATATTTTCTCTTTCTATCAAAACAACAACTATCAGTGAAGGTTAATCAGCACCGTCACATGTGTCTGCATTTGATGTGGAAGTCTGTGCTTCTTTTTGTTGCTACTGGGCCTAGAACAGGATTTACATCAGGAACATCTCCTGAGCAGGACTAGTTTGTAGGTGGCATATGAAATAAAACGCACATGAGTAACTCCCACCATTCCCTTTGGCCCCAGTTGCACCACAGCCATGTGGGTTGGCTCATGTGTTGGCAAGACGACCATTCAGTCCCACCATTTTTGACAACCACATTTCTCATTATGAATTTATAGAAAACATGTTTTTGTATTTTCTGCAGAGGGCAATAAGCAAGAGGTTGGAAAAAAACCTGCATATTTTTTTTTTCTAGTAAGCATTGAAAACAGATCAGGCAGACCTGAAGATCAAAAAGTTTGTGCAAAATTGTTGTCTGATGACAATTGATGGTTTAACTGCATTTTCGTAAATGGACTCGCTCTTTTGTTTGCCACCTGGTGAGCGTGCTCAAACATGAAGGGTCAGTAGAACTCAAACTGATTACAACCACAAAACTAAAGCTTCATGCATTATAATCTTGTTTGTTAAATACACATTCCCACTGTTCATATGCAGATATGTGTTTTTTGAGATAAAGTGTGATGTAATAGGATGCTTGAAATTGACTTTGTTTGGATCTCAAACAAGAAAAAAAAAAGAAAAGGTTCATTGTTCAGTTGTTTTCATTTTTTTTAGTCATCGATAAAAGTGTGTTGCACAAGTTCTCTGCATTTAATTATATTTTGAATGTGGTATTATTGAAAAGAATAACTTCTGTCCACACTTTAAATCAGTTTAGCTTTGGGAATCATAAACTTAATCAATCAATGAATAACACAATACATCATGCAAAATCTGAAATGATTGAGTCATTCTGTCATGTTTAACTACACAGAGACCTAAGTTCACAAAAGTAAAAACATGTATTGTTTTCTTTTGTTTCTGATAATCTAACATCTACTGGGACTGTGTGTCTACCTCACATGCTTTGCTCATACACCATATGCTGCAGATATGCAAGCCGAGAGTTTGACAAGCATCAGTTTCCAAAGGCTCAGGAAACAAAGGTTTATTACAATATTACAATATTGCTCTCTGGGGACTTGTGGGTAAGTTAAAAGAAGCTATTAATTACTCATTATAAATCCAAATAAAACAGTTTTTGGATGGACCCATTTAAGTCGCAATCATTTAAAGATTCTTGAAGATTTAAAGTGTTGGGAAATATAATGTCTAAGGACTTCACAGCCATTGTGTTGAAACGTGTGCCTGAGTGAGTCAGTAACAGTGTTCGAAAGAAAATGTTAAAACACAAAGTATGCCTCGTGATGATGATCACCATCATTCCCAGTTTTCAGGAGCTGTCTCCCTGCAAAACATATAGCTTCAACAGGACATTGAGCATAAACTATTCTGAAAAGTGTTTGGCAAATCTGCTATCACATTTAATGATCTGTGAGTTTTCCAGTGTCTCTCCATCAATTATGCAGCACCGGATTAAATCTCCAGGCGGCAGCCGCACACACTGAATATTCACACTCCAGCCTTATGATCCATTAAATTGAAGTAGATTTTTAGTGGTGATATTTTAAAATGACTGTCATGCAGGTTCTGGAGTGTGGGCTGATGAACGGTGTCAAGAAGTGAAAGAACGGAGAAATTAGGGCAGAGTGATGACGGGTAGGATAGCTAACTGATGTTGAGACTATCTTACAGTCACAATGTCCAGTGCTGAGGAAGTGGAGACATTTTAATTGACAGACTGGATAAGACGGACAGCAGGTCGAGAAACAGCTGAGGATGGAGGGTTGGATGAGGAGATGCATGCAAAACTACAGTAGCTCTAATTTTTGTTAACTCATTCATTCATATAGTGCTTACTGCAAATGGGGGGCTTTGAGAATCGTAGGAAACCTTGTTATCAGTGCATGATTATCTGCTTATAAGTGGATTAAAAAAAGACCCTCAATGAAGATTTAGCAATAGGAATGAAGTAGTTAAAATCAGTAAATCTACATGTGATACTATTAGAGGAAGCTCAAGGCATTTGTTAATGTACTTAAACAGACTGTAACTGTAGGATTGAATTGACTGAGCTTCAACAGAGAAGAAGCTTAAAACAAAAAAACTTTTCCTCACCTAATTCACCTAATGAAATATTAATTTTTATATTATCAAACCATTTATTTATCACATTATTGAATCTTTTTTTTGTTTTCATCAGCCCACTGCTGAATATGATATGAAGCACGCCATATTAACTTCTAATTGTTCTTTCTTTCTGAGGGTTTGATGTATAAAGTACATTTTAAGCGCACATGGATCAGTAACACAACCCCAGTCGGCTTGTGTTATCAGAGTCGTTTGGTGTGTGTAAAAGTCAAAGTTTAGTGCAGAGTGTTCTGTACCTCATTATGGGTCATTTGTCCATCGATCGCTCCCCTCATATGCATTTCCCATTAATGGTACATTATCAAAGCTCCATATATCTGCTGGTGGAAAGGTGATATGATAATTACCAAGAGGAAGCCTATCTCGCCACCATGTCAGCCAGGCTCGTGTGTAACATGAGAAGCATGCGGCGTCCGGTTCTGTGACCTTGGTGGCTTCTGATGATGGAGTAGGGCGAGTTTGAGAAATTGTCCTGAGAATTGATAATGACCTGGCCTGATATATTTGATTTAATAGAGCTGGGTACACGCACACACACACATACATGCGAGTCACAGGATAGCAAATGGAGTGACAGCACAAAGGGGCAACACAAGAAAGCAACAAATCTAGAGATACCTGCTTGATTGTCAGGAAATGTAGAATTTGCTAGAGGGAATGATTGCAAGGCCACCCCTCTAACCTTGGGTCGTGAGCTCCCATCAGCTCCCATCTATTTGTTTTGAATTTAAAAATCCTAATATCTTTGTTAAAAAAACGTTTTTCTCATTCACAGGCACTGGCTTTTATAATGTCAGGGATGCAGTGATCCAGCAATAGTGATAAGCTAATAAATTTAGCAGGTGCTACAGAATATTTACAGACATTGCAGGAAGATATAATTCTGTTAAAGTTAACCTGGCTTACTCTGTTTGACCTTTTAGCTGTGTGCACTGCTGGCAGCATGAGTTGACACCAAAAGTGATGTTATCTTTTGTGGCAGTGAAACACAAACAAACACTATGATCCACAGTCTCACTTCACATGGCTTTGATGTTGGCTCCTCCTCGACTTCATATTGAGCCACGGGCCAATAAGACTGCGGGCCAGCTGAAGTCTGTCATTCAGAAGCTGTTACACAGACTCAGGGCACAACCTTACATGTAACCTTTTCTCATTCAAAAACAACCTATGTAAAAAAAATAAATAAATATTGAAAATATCTGTGACAAACTATTGTGGCCTTACAGTGTTTCCCTCACAGGATCTTGATATTGGCTGAGAATTGAGAGCTGGATGCGGAACAGATTTTTATTAGATGATATTCCCCCTTAGCTTTAGCTCCTCTGCACTCATCTCATATTTTTATGTATTTTATGTCATATGTAACTTCATCCATCCATCGGTACCTACATACATCCTCTGTCATGTATCTGGGTCCAGTTTGTGGGGGCAACAGTCTAAGCAGAGATGCCCAGTTTTCCCTTCAAGTGGCCAATTGCTCCAGTTCTTCTGCAGGGAAACTGAGAAGGCTCCAAGACAAGCCAAAAGATATAATCCCTTGAAGTGCCCTGGGTCTATCCCGGCCACCTCGCAGTATGACTTGCCTGAAACACCCGAACAGGCATCCAAACTCAGATGCCTGTTCGGGAATCTGAGTAGGGTGATTTCAGGGTGAGGGAATACAAACATGGAGGAGGAAGATGGCATAATGGGTTTTCATTAAATGTGTTTGTGTCTGCTTTTTCAGATATCCAACACTTTTCAAATGCTGAATTTCTCTCTCTTTGATTAAACAAACTTAAGTCAGAGATAATAAAATTATATGTTGCATCTGCAAATACAGATGCAACAAATCCCAAGAAAATACAGACCATCACTCCAATTTGTTCATTTGACACCATTTTTTCCCATAAAGTAGGACTGGCCTGGTTTTGTTTCTAATCAGAAAATCATGTTTTATTGATTGGGCACACAAACATTGTTGGAACATGACCCAGTTTCTCTCCATCTTTTCTTTTCATTTGTTTGTTTTGAAAGAACAACTAATTTAGCCAGAAGTTCTATAACTCAACATCATAACTGTGTCTAATTTGAACATCTCTGTTTGTAATTTAGCAGAAA